AAACCATTCCCTCCCCCATACCTCCCCCTTCCAATCTGATATCCAATCTTCCATTACCTATTTTTTTTTATCCTCATCACGTTACTGTTTCCTATATTCACTTTTAACTTCCTTCTTTTACATACCCTACCAAACTCATCCACCAACCTCTGGAACTTCTCTTCAGAGTCTCCCAAAGGCACAGTGTCATCAGCAAAGAGCAACTGTGACAACTCCCACTTTGTGTTAGATTCTCTATCTTTTAACACCACACCTCTTGCCAACTCCCGAGCATTCACTTCTCTTACTACTCCATCTATAATTATATTGAACAAGCACGGTGACTTCACACATTCATGTCTAAGGCCTACCTTTACTGGGAAATAATCCCCCTCTCGGCTGCATGCTCTAACCTGAGCGTCACTATCCTCGTAAAAACTTTCCACCGCTTTCAATAACCTACCTCCTATTCCATACATTTGCAACCTCTGCCACATTGCCCCCCTCCTTTTCCACCCTATCTACCCCCCCGTATCCACCCTATGCCACGAAAACCTCTTTACCCTTATCTAAATGCTGTTCACCTGTGTGTTTCACTGCAAACACTTGGTCTACTCATCCCCTAACTTTCCTAAAGCCGCCTTGTTCATCTGCTATCCTGTTCTTCTTCTTACTCATAATTCTGTTAATAATAACTGTACCATACACTTTACCAGGTATTCTCGACAGACTTATTCCCCTATAATTTTTTGCCTTTATACAAAGGAACTCTGCATGCTCCCTGCCAATCCCTGGATACCTTACCCTCCTCCATACATTTATTGAATAAAAACACTAACCACTCCCAAACTAAATCCCCACCTGCTTTTAGCATTTCTATCTTTATCCCACCAATCCCAGGTGCTTTACCCCCTTTCATTCTACTCACTACCCCACTCACATCCCCCACACTCACAAATGGTTCTTTCTCACTCCTACAAGATGTTATTCCTCCTTGCCCTATACACGAAATCACAGCTTCCCTGTCTTCATCAACTCTTTCCCTAGGCTTTCTCAACTTATTAATCTCGCTCCAAAACTTTTTCTTATTTTCAACAAAATTTGTTGATAACATCTCACCCACCCTCTCATTTGCTCTCTTTTTACGTTGCTTCACCACTTTTAACCTTTCTTTTACTCTCCATATACTTCTCCCTCCTTGCATCACTTCTACTTTGTAAAAACCTCTTTCTCTTTCTTTACATCATTCCACCAATCTTCTTCCGTCCCGTACCCACTTTCCTGTAACCACAAACTTCTGCTGAACACTCTAACACTATTCTTAAACTTACGCCATACATCTTCTACCCCATTGCCTGTAGTCTCACTAGCCCATCTGTCTTCCAACAGTTGTTTATATCTTACCTTAACTGCCTCCTCCTTTAGTTTATAAACCTTCACTTCTCTCTTACTTGCTGTTTCAATTTTCCTTGTATCCCATCAACCTTTTACTCTCGCTGTAGCTACAACTAAAAAGTGATCTGATATATCTGTGGCTCCTCTATGAACATGTACATCCTGAAGTCTACCCAACAATCTTTTATATACCAGTACGTAGTCCAACAAACTACTGTCATTTCGCCCTACATAATATCTTGTATACATATTTATCCTTTTTTTTCTTAAAATACGTGTTACCTATAACCAAACCCCTTTGTGTACAAAGTTCAATCAAATGCTCACCATTATCATTTACACCTGGCACCCCGAACTTACCTACCACACCCTCTCTAAATGCTTCTCCTACTTTAGCATTTAGATTCCCTACCACAATTGCTCTTTCACTTGAATCAAAAATTCCTACACACTCGCTTAACATCTCCCAAAATCTCACTCTCCTCTACACTCCTCTCTTCTCCAGGTGCATACACACTTATTATGATCCACTTTTCACATCCGACCCTTATTTTAATCCACATAATCCTTGAATTTATACATTTATATTCTCTTTTCTCTATAAGTGTTCCTTTAATATTTTTGCTCTCCCTTCCTTAGTCTAACTTCTAAGGATTCTCCTGACTTTAAATCCATTTGTTTTTCCCTAATGAAACTCACTACCCCCTTAGCTTTGTTTCGTTGAGGGTAGGAACAACTCAATTCTCCTTTCAATTCATAACCTTGCAACTCATTCTTTCTTATCTGCACCACCTCTACACATTCATACATCCAATTTATAAGTTCTCTTTCTCTTCTTTTTAGTAATATGTACGGATAAGGGGTTACTTGCCTTGCTCCCGACATCAAGTCGCTTTACGAGGACGATAGCTTTGGAGGGGAATTTATGATTCCACGTTCCCATGTAATAAGCAGAAATAAACAACAAGAAATATGGAGAAATAGAAGAAAAATCAGCAGGGTTAGTATATATATTCCTCTACATGGTTGTGTTAGTGTGACCTAAGTGTAAGTAGAAGTAACAAGACATACTTGCAACTTTCAGCATGAGACAGAAAAGAGACGAGCTATCTACCATCATGCAAAACAATTAAGGACTTGTGTTTCACACATTGTTGGTTTAGGACGGTAGTACCTCCTGGGTGTTGCTGTTACCAAACCATATAAATATCTATATATATATATATATCTATCATTATATATATATATATATATATATATTATTTATATATATAAAGTTACACAACTAATTGCACAAATATAGTAATACAAAAGAGCAATAGTATGCAACAAGTTTGAAAGTTGGATTTAATGTGAATAGAACGGTTGCGGGACTAATATATTAACATTTCATAACTAAGTTACACTATGTAGGAATCTATGTCACATTTTAAGACTATAGGCCAGGGAGCTTCTCTCGGGTATGTGCGGACACCCGAATTATTTCAGCTAAGGTGTTCTTGTATTGTGTGTGTGTGTGTGTGTGTGATGTGTGGTTCTGCAGTTATTCAGAACGATATTTAGAACGTGGGTCGGTATTCGTACCAAGTTTCCTGTGCATTTAATCTGTACTGAGCCCAACTTAGTATTTCGAATAAAACGTCGGATGTGATATTGTTTTGATCATGTTTGTGAGTGATTGATCATAAATGTTTGATCATTTTTTGATCATAATTGTTTGATCATAATCGTTTGATCATAATTTTTTGATCAAATTTGCTTGACATAATTTTTTGATCATAATTGGGTGTCAAAATTTTTTTGATCAAAAACGTTTGATCATAATCTTTTGATCATAATTGTTTGATCAAATTGCTTGATCAAAATTTTTTTGATCATAATTTTTTTGATCAAAATTTGTTGACTAATTGGGTGATAAAATTTAATAGCTTTTTTTATTTTTGAAAAATGAAAACAAAAAATTTTGGGTGATTACTATTGCAACCCAAGTACAAATACCAAAACTGAGGTCAAGTTAATTAACATTAAGATTATACAGACTGAAAAAGATGTTTTATTTTTTGGTATATTTTTTCTATTTTTTGTAAAGAATGCTTGCAGTTTCTTATATATATATAAAAAAATATATAATATATATTAAATATATATATAATTAAAATATATTAATATAATATTAAAATATATATATATATAATATATATATAAAATATATATATAAAATAATAAAATAATCTTCGATGAGAGTTTTGGGAGTTTTACCTTGTCTCATCTAGTGTGTTTTTTATGTTCTTTTCAGCTGTTTATTTTAATTTTTCTAATAGTTTAGTTTTATCAGTAATGACAGAGATTTTGGTTGTCATTTATTTAGATATCCTCATAAACTCGTCGTTATCTGTTATGTCGAGGATAACCGGATCCGGATTTGATAAGACGGAAGTTGTTATCTGCAGACAGGACCGCTTTAAGTCCCTGGGGAGGCATTACGTAGGTCACTGATACACATAAATAAAAGAAGGGATAGGACGCCTCCCTGTGGCGCCCCAATGTTGGCAGGTTAGGTTGGTCACATGTTATAGTCTGTCCTTAATTAAGGACAAACTTCAGTCACATGTAGTCTGTCCTTACTATGTCCTCACAAACAGTCATAAGACTGTGTGAACATTGTAAGTTTATTTAGGTACAAGTACAATTATCATTCACTGTAAATTACCTAGGATAACCCAACAAAAGAGTCAAGGTGACTTATTTCCAATGGGGTCCTTGTAAAATATTTAAAGCCTAGCAGTAAGTTACAGTGTTCTAGTTTAAGTACCATTATATTGTGATGTACTGTGTTAGAAGCTTATCATAGATCAGTAGACGTCCATTGAATAGTTATTATTTTTTAGAGTGGAATACACAGTCTAGTATTTTTATTATAGCATCACTCGCACTTTTCTCTGGCCTAAAATCAACCTAGCAAGGGTTAAATGTTTTGTTTAGAATTTAATACATACGAATATATTTGGTCCATTTATTATTATTTTTTTTAGGTGGAAATTGACCTGTAGTTGTTGATTTCTGTTCGGTCTCCACTTTCATGAATTGGCGTAAGACACGTTGTGTTAAATGTTTGGTGAAATCTGCAATGATAGGTGATAACACGAGATGCTTTCTTATGTATGACCGATGGTAAATTCCCCTTGGCTTTTGCTTATTATTCAGCGAATTTAAAACTGGAAATCCAGCACGTTACATGCACATGTTACATGTTAAAATAGTGTCTGAAGCATTCCCTCACCCTCAGGCACCGTCCGTGAGCCAGCTGACTACTGGGGCGTGGGCAACAGCGGAGCGTAATGGCGTCTTCTTCAATTTGACCATGTCTTATCACAGTCTCAACCATATCGTTATCCCTAATGGCTATCTGCTGCCCCTGGACACCCCGCCACACTGCCCCTTACAGCCAGTCACCATATTAAACACCTCATCATCTACTTTCATCAGCTATAGTGAACATATGAGAGAGTACGACGCACTGCTGCGGGCAAAGGGTCGTCACATGGACAACTGGTTGCGTACTGAAGCAACTCTGCGCCATCAGAGCTCTGAAGGAGTCCATCCAAAGATAGGCGAGGCAGAAAATGAAGCCCCGATGAACATTACTCAAACTCGGAATACACACACTGAGAATTACACATTAAAGAATCAAAATATGTTTGGAAAACGTCCTGGATTTATGAAAGAAGCGAAGATAGAAAACAGTGACTATGACAATGACAATTACAATTATGGGTTAACGAGGGAAGAGATAATGTGGGCAAGTAGGCGACAGCTGGTGGCCTGGATGGCTAGCCACTGTCCCACTGTTTCTCGTCGGGAGTCGCTGGTGGCAGCGCTGCAGACACACATCTCCGTCACCACAGTAGGAAAGTGTGGCGAGCTTACCTGTGGCAGGAACCACATGGACACCTACTGCTTCCGCTGGCTGGCTGGCTCACACCTCTTCTACTTGGCGTTTGAGAATGATCTCTGCGAAGACTACCACACTGAGAAGCTTTGGCGCCCGCTTGAGTATTCCATGGTACCGGTAGTGTATGGCGGCCCTTCCTACGAACATCTTCTTCCATTTGGTTCCTATATAAATGTGATGGCTTTTTCGAGCGCTGAAGCGTTGTCTGTTCACCTGGTGCACCTGGCCAATCACCCAACAGCCTACCTGAGACACCTTCAGTGGAAGAAGTACTGGAGGGTTAGGTGGCCGGTGCCGTGGTGTAACCTGTGTGCTTATCTCCACCAGCCACACCACAACCACCATCATACCACTCTTGATTCATGGTGGAACTCCACTACCCAGTGCTACGACCCTCTGATGTGGTAACCTTTCATTTTAACCTTTGTTCTACACGTGTAATGTACATATATGAGGCCTACCTTCGAGTAGCGACTGACAGTGTGAATATTTACGAAAACGTAAAAAGGGTAGAAAAGAGCAAAGATTAAATAAATTTGAAAAATGTAGCTAGACTCGTTAGGGATCGTTTTCTTTAAATTTTGATAAAAAATAGTGTATATGAGTGAACCGTATAATATCTCAGAGTAAATCAGGACATATAATGATAGATAAATCTCAAGTGGACGGAGATGATAAAGAGGGATAAATGAATTTTTGCTTCAGGATCCAAGTGCATCTCTTGTAGCTAACAGGAAGAAGATATCAGAAGACTGCAGACATTCTCACTTATTTGTTGAAAACACATTAGGTCAGTATTAAACAATTTAGTGACCTTAGCTGACGGTAAGAGATAATCAGCACCAGGCTCTCCAGAATTAGGTATTCGCCCTCTTTATAGAATTAGGTGTCCATGGAGGCTGTAGACTCAGGCAGCAGATTATGAGTAGTAATCAGTAATAATTAGATACATCTCTGTGATAATTAGCATGGGTCAAGTGAGTTACAAAATAAACTTATCTTCACTGCTTTTTTAAATACATTTCCAAGGCAGCACTATGTTGCTACTCATACAAAAATGAAAGAGGCACACATTCGTTATGGTCAATTACTCATGGAAAATCATACAGATTTATCAAGGATAATCTAACACTGATAAAATATACAAATTCGAGAACACAAGAAACGAAAGCATGCAAATCTGTACAAATTCATGGCAGCACTCGAGTCTTGTGGCCCCTCTCAGTTGTGTATCAAAAACCTGTATACTTACCACGGACGGGAGGCTGGCACAGAGACCGGTTATCTGAGTAGCATTCTGGAATGCCTCTACAGCTTTTCTTGGTACAGTGCTAGATAATTATTTTATTGGCCCAGTTATTTTATGGAAGGCCGAGAATCGAGCCTCTGATATTTTAGCATGCTTCCCAAGAAGCAAAACAAAATTCCAAGATGCTTTTGACCACCGAGCTATCAGTGCTACAAACATCAGGTGCCACTGCATATGTCACTCCTGATCTGAGCACATAAAGTGCTCGTCACTGCATTATGCCGGGTGAGCGCCCCGGCATAATGCTGTGATGAAAATCAGAGGCCTATCATAGTGGGGTTTCTTTTTCGTCAGTGTATTCTGCTGGGTAGCAGCCATTAGCATGACGTCACGACCTTCTGCCATACTTCACAGTGACTTCTCATTGCTCACGTGGGTGCCGTGGTGCAGCCACATGAGCAATGAGAAGTGTTCCCTTTGGTTTTGGGGCTATACATCTTTGATTATGGGTAAAAGGAAGTCTTTAACACATCATAGGGCTTCACAAAACTGGGCACCAGATGAAAGAAATAGTGGAGACTTAGTGTGTGTGAGCGTTCAGTGAGGAACTGTGTGCAGCATTTCAAGGGTGATGGCGGTGTTGATTTATCGTGTGCCAAACTTCCGCCTGACTCCTCCATGAAGACATTTGTTCATGCCTTAACTGTGTTAAAGAAGCAGTTACTCTCTGATTCTTTAACACAGTTAAGGTACGAACAGATGTTTTCTTGGAGGGGCCAGGAATAACTCAACACTGCCACCAGCCTTGAAACGCGGCACCCAGTTTCTTACTGAACGCTTACACACATTAACATTCTCCATTATTTCTTTCGTCTGGTGACCTGCTTTGTGAAGCCCTATGATTTGAGCTATAGTTTCAGGTGTTAAAGAAATTTCAGCATAGTTGCTGATCCCCTACATGTGTTGTATATCTTATCTGAGTATCATAGTACCATCCATATGTTTTACATACACGACCCCTTTGCTAGGCCTAGTGACTAGTTTGTATGACGTCAGCTGCTGATGCCGTAAGATCCTTTGTGGGTCTAGCAGGTTTTTATAGATCTTTCATTGCTAATTTTTCTTCCATAGCTGCTCCTCTAACTGAGTTGCTTAAGAAAGATGCTCCTTTTGTTTGGCCCTTCCGTCAAGAAAGAGCATTCCAAACACTAAAAGAAAAGCTAACATCTACTCCAATTTTGAAATTTCCAGATTTTTCTAAGCCCTTCTATCTGAAAACTGATGCTAGTTCAATTGGCATAGGTGCCGTTCTAGCTCAGAAGACTGATGGCAAGTACAACGCAGTTGCATTTGCTAGCCGAGTCCTTACGAAGGCTGAACGAAATTATACAGTAACTGAGCAAGAAGCTTTAGCAATAGTATGGTCTTTAAAGCACTTCCGAGACATTATTTATCAGTACCCTGTTCATGTCTTGACAGACCATGCTCCACTGATACCTTTATTCCAGAACAAACAACCTACTGGAAGGTTATCCAGATGGACCTTGACTATCCAAGAGTTCAGTCCTACCTTTGAACATTTACCTGGCAAGTCCAATGTAGTCGCAGATGCTTTATCACGACATGTTAGTATAATTATTGCAGATCATCCATTTACTGCCGAGGACGTAAAGAATGCCCAAAGAGCAGATCCCATGTGGTCTGGTGTGATTCGATTCCTGCTCCAGGAAGATCTTATTCTGACTGTGAAGCCACCAGCACCCATCAGTGACTTTGCCATGAGTCAAGAATTACTGTGTCGAGCAGCCGAGTTGGGTACTCCAAGCAGAAGAGTGTACCAGTTAGTAATTCCACAGTCACTAGTGAACGTAGCTCTACAGCTAGTTTACGATGCACCAGGTGTTGCACACCCTGGTATGGATCGTTCTGTGAAACAAGCCAGAATGAAATACTTTTGGCCACGTATGGCAACTGACATTTCCGAGTATGTTAAGAAATGTAGTGTCTGTATACAACATAAAGGAAATGTCAATGGTCCTAATCCAATCCAGGTGTATCCAACCACTAGCGAACCGTGGGAAAGAGTTGCGCTAGATTTGTTAACCAATTTTAAATGTTCCCTCAAAGGCAACAAACATCTGTGTATTATGGTAGACCATTTCACCAGATATTTCGAGTTCCTATTGCAGAGAAGACTGCCGAGACAGTAGCTAAAGCGTTTAAAGAACGCATTATCTGCAGGCATACCACCCCTAAGTCCTTAGTAACAGATAATGGAGGTGAATTCTGTAATGAGATTCTTGAAAGTATGTGTACCTTGTACAAAATCTCTAAGTCAACCATTGTTCCTCATCATCCTGCGAGTAATGGTTTAGCAGAACGAACCAATAAGAAAGTACTTGGTGTTTTGAGAGCCACTATCAACCTCAATAGTGAAACTTGGGATGAAGTTATACCAGATGTTCAATGTGCCATAAATTCTGCTTACAATGCTTCCATAGGTGACACTCCACATTATACATTGTACGGTGTAGACAAGCATTTACCTTATGAGCTGTTATATTCCACTCCGAAACCCAATTATAACACTGATGATTTCATAGCAACTCGTACCAGCATAGCTCAAAGTGTTTTTAGAAGAATCCGTGAAACACTTCATAAATCAACAGCAGAATTTACTAGAGTAACTAACAGCCGTGCTAAGCTGACAAAAGTTAAAGTGGGTTCGAGAGTAATGCTGACTAATTTCAATAAAACATCCGCAATGCCTAAGCTCGACCAAAAGTTTGTTGGCACTTATCGAGTAGTTGAACATATCAATGGCAATAAGTATAAGGTTAGAAAAATTAGTACTGGTCAGTATAAAGAATCGCATTTAGATCATATGAAGTTAGTATGCGATGTTGATGATATTGCTACCCAGACTTAATGTGTCAGTCGCTGACAATCCTCTTGACTCTGTACCCTCGACCTCAAATACTCAGCCAGATAATCAACCCAAATGTCGTTATTCTTTGCGTACTCGACAAGTAATGAAAAACCCACAAGTATCTTTTGTAGATACTTGTTCAGATCTCCCTCAGTCAAGGCATGTGTTAGCCATTGCAAAGGAATTCGATCCTCCCAAAGACGATAACCATTCTCCATATGTAAATCTTACCCTCGCAGAGTTGGGTTTAAATGTACATAGTCTGTATAATTAGATGTTCAAGATGAATGAAGTTGCCAACCGTGTGTTTTGTTATTAGCTGATCAGTTTTTCAGAAAAAAAATTTGTGTGTTCACGTTCCCTCCGAATTCTGAAAATATAGCAGTAATAATCTGTTCGTGCCAGATTTGCCTTTTGGTGTTAATTTAGTTTCACCTTTGTAAATATATATTTATTCTTCCTCAGAATCCGTAGAGTGCATGAATACAGATCGATCGATCAATTCCATCCTTTATTATAATATGACTTGTACTTATAATTTGTAATGCATTCCGTTAACACCCATTACGATACCATCCATCAGTTCTAAGTTACATATGTCTTTGCTATTGTATAGAATCAGCCCAGAGCCACCTGCCTGTTCAGCCTATAGCGTAGTATTATATGTCAGCGTAGTTGCTGATCTCCTACATGTGTTGTATAGCTTATCTGTGTATCATAGTACCATCCATATGTTTTACATACACGGCCCCTTTGCTAGGCCTAGTGACTAGTTTGTATGACGTCACGTGATCCCGCATGAGTGCATGGGACGCGCTGCATCGGCCTCAGTTCTCCGTAATCCAAGCAGGCGATAGGACAAGCAGTTTGGGCTCTCCCTTCTCATACTCTGCAATATAGTGTTACCATCCAACAAGTGTGTTTCCCCAACCTTCATGTCTCCTACGAACCCCCACTACACTTCCTGTTACCCACAATCAAAGATGAATAGCCCCAAAACCAAAGGGAACACTTCACAAAAGATGGGACAGATGAGAGACAAAAGTGCAACACTTCCTCTCACCACGGCAGCCACGTGAGCAATGAGAAGTCACTGTGAAGTGTGGCAGAAGGCCATAACGTATTGCTAGCGGCTGCTACCCAGCAGAATACACTGACAAAAAAAAACAACCTGTATGGTAGGCCTTTGACTTTCATCACGGTATTAACATCAATGAAAAAAAATATATCTTTAAACATATAAAAAATTTTTCAGAAAGGACTTAAGTTTAAATTAGTTCTTGCGTATTGACCAGTTTTACCTATTCGGCACGAATGTCGTGCAAAATATTAACATGTCGACTGATTTTACACTTGTTAGTTTTGATGTCACTGCGTTGTTCACGAGAGTCCCTGTTCCCGACTTGCTATCTTATTTGGAAGAGGAATTAAATGAGTTCTCTTTGCCGTATGATAAAAATATCATTATTGGATTGATTAAGCTTTGTGTAGTTGATTGCAAGTTTGAGTTTGAGGGGAATTACTATGTCCAAAAACAGGGAATCGCGATGGGTAATCTGTTGTTCCTCTTATTGAGCAATCAATTTATGGATTTTTTTGAGGCTAGACTGTTGAAATATGTCCTGCCATGTAGAGCTAAATGGTTCATATATGTGGATGACATCTTGTGTCTTTGGCTAAATGATATGGCCCTTGATACGTTTTTACCAAGACATAACGCTTTAGTCCTGTCTATTAAATTCACCGTGGAGATAGAGGTGGATAATAAACTTCCATTCTTAGACGTGTTGATACACCTGCTTGATAGAAAGTTTAAGTTTACAATATATAGGAAGGCCACTAGTGTGTCTTCATTCATTCACTGTTATTTCAACCATGAGATGAAAGTCAAAAGGAGTGTATTTCTTACTATGTTTTTGAGAGCCTATGGAGTGTGTAGTCCGGAGTTCCTGGATGAAGAAATTAGGAAAATATTTGACATTGGCACGAAGCTGCGTTATCCTAAAGTGTTTATGGAATCTGCCTTACTGGCAGCTAAGAATACGTATTATAAAACAGAACCTAGGATAACACCTCAGACCAAGAATGTGCTGGTCCTCCCATACGACGAGAATTTATCTGTCCTGCCGAATGCTCTTAGAAGACTTAATATGCAAGTAGTATTTAAAAATTCACGGACTGTTAGAAGCATCCTGATGAAGAATGCACCACAACAACGTGTTGGTGGTGTCTACAGAGTTGGTTGCAATGGTTGCAGTCTCTCCTATTTGGGGCAAACTGAAAAGTCATTGGAGGTGAGAATGTCCCAGCACCGTTATTCCATACGTATTGCACAGGAGTCGAAAGTGATTTTCAACCATATTAGTGCTTGTAATAATCCAGCAAATTGGCAGGAAGCAAGATTCATCTTCCCTTGTTCCTCCTGGCTTAAAAGGAATATTGTAGAATCTGCACTTATTAAGCATGATAGGCAGTCATTATACAATATCAGTGGTGGGCTGTTCAAATTAGATGCGTTTTTAGTTAAGGCAATAATACAGTCTAAAATT